CACACACACACACACACACACACACACACACACACACACACACCCACAGGGTAATGTGCGTCACACTCACGCATACACACATAATTATTCAGTTGTCAGTTATCAGTCATAACGAGAAGCTCCAATGTGTTGCCTATACATTCCCTATCTGAACTGCTGTTAAACACAGCAAAGTACCAACAGACCCCTAAGCAACAACCCACACAAGTTTGCACATCTATCCAATTGGGGACATTTCATTGACTTCCATTACATTTCTACAGCCTGACCCTGACCACAAACCCTAAGGCTAACCTCACAGGTACCTGACCCTAAAACTGACCTAAACTCAGTTCACAGCTTAAACCCAACCCCCACCCCACCAATGGCATTTAAACCAAATGGGGACTCGACTTTTGTCCCCAAATGCACCAGTTGTCCCCAAACGTAGGATTTTTGTCTTTAAATTGCCCCCAAATGTCACCAAAGCTGAACCCAACTTAACACAGGTGTTCCCTAGATGGTTAAAATAACGTATGTGTATATTTTTTTGTGTGCCAGCTGTCACTTAAACTATCGGACTAGTGTATTTTAAAGTTGACTGAGAAATCTAATGCTCATAAATGTAACAGATTTAAAACTGTAATGAGTACAGGTGGGTATGTCATATTATGAAATATGTACATATCTGTTCTTAGTTTATCAAATCACAGTCTAATATTTTTGTGTTTTTGCAACTAAGCTCAACATTAATAACTGAAACAATCATTATGTATACAAAATTGAGTTTAATATAAGAAAATTAGCATTTTTTCTTGCTCTGTGAGATTTACAACTATTGGCATCTCAATATTGCAATAAATAATTTATCATCGTTGTGGTTTTTAGACCTCTGATGTTTTCATCAAGAGCACAGTTACATATCTCGCTCTCTCTAACACTCAGAATTTAGTGAGACTCCAACCGAAAATCGGCGTATTTTTTTGCTTTATATTTTATCATTTTAGTGCTCAGGAATTGCAGAAACTAAATTGTTTGAGACACGTGACTATATTGATTGGAAAAAAAGGGTTGCACAATCTTTCTAAAGTGAAAAAACTACAAGCCTCTGAGACTCGCATGAGGAAAATGAGAAACCA